GGTGATCCACCCATGTTGGCCTCCCAAAGTGCTGGGATTATAGGCATGAGCCACCGTGCCCGGCCGTACCTATCCTTTACATTCCATGTGCTTTGAAATTCTTTTGTAATAGTCCCTACTGTGACCTGCTCAGACACTTTTTAAAGAATTTTCTATGTTTGGGTATACTTAATCATCTGACAATAATTCTAGACCAATGTAGGCCCCTTTCATTAGCCGCCCTCTGTATCGTCCCAATTGTTTCTAGGGAACTGGGTCTGCCTTTGTTCTCTACAAACACTGGTTGTAGGGTGAGGACAGGACCATGAGAAAAATCCAGGATTTTCTGACTTTCCTCTTTTTATTTACAGTTTTGAAAAGTGATTACAGTTCTCTGTTTTATTTTCTGTCTTCAGGTTATAGAAAGTCTGCCTTTTGAGTACATTTATTTCTCCTTTCTCATTGTTTTATATCACTTTGGGAGGAAGTATTGGGAGACAGGTAACTGGAGGCCTCTATTATTTTCAGTTACCCCAAAAGCTAACTTAAAAACAAGCAAATATGAAATTAGCTGGGTGTGGTGGTGCACCCCTGTAATCTCAGCTACTCGGGAGGCTGAGGCAGGAGAATCAGTCAAATATGGGAGGCAGAGGTTGCAGTGAGCAGAGATCGTGCCACTGCATTCCAGCCTGGGTGACAGAGAGAGACTCCCTCTCAAAAAAAACCCCACAAAATACAAATATGATTAAGTTGTTCTTCTGTTCTTGCTCTTGCTGGGGAGAAGTATAAACTGGCCAAATGGTACTTAACAAAGTACTATTCATTAAGGACATTTAAAAATTATATAATAGTTGTTATTGGTCAGGCGTAGTGGCTCACACCTGTAATCCCAGGACTTTGGGAGACCAAGGCAGGCAGATCACAAGGTCAAGAGATCGAGACCAGCCTGGCCAACTTGATGAAACCCCACCTCTACTAAAAACACAAAAATTAGCTGGGCATGGGGGTGCGCGCCTATAGTCCCAGCTACTCAGGAGGCTGAGGCAGGAGAATCGCTTGAACCCAGGAGGCGGAGGTTGCAGTGAGCTGAGATTGCACCACCGCACCCTTGCCTGGCGACAGAATGAGACTCTGTTTTCAATAAGCTTGCCTGGGAAACAGAGGTTTTAAAAAGCTATTTGTAACTTAAATAATAAAGTAGCCTGATGTTAGCTAAAACTCTCTCTGAGGTCGGATGATTGCATTTGCGAAGTCCTATGATGTCATATGGGAGGCAAATATCTGCAGTTTCTTAGTTCTGCTCTGACATGTGTGTCATCAGGAATAATCTCTTTGGCTCTGGTGTATTTGGCACTGACACTATCCCCCTCTCAAAATCTCTCCCATGTTGTTTGCACTGGAACAGCCTCCCCACCCCTTCATTCTGTCATCCCTCTCTCTTGCCTTAACCCACACTTCTTCATGATGTTGATACTGTATTTGATATCCAAAAATGACAGCATAGTTCAGCTTTGGGGTTCAAACTGATGTCTGAGTTTTTGTGGGTTACAGCAGCTTGTTTTAATAAGAAACACGGTTTTTGCTCATCTTGTCTGCAGAGAGGGACGGTATGGAAATTGCGAGTAAGGGGAACCTTATATTTTAATGTGTCATCAAGCATCTGGTTTAGCAGGGGGAAAAGACGCCCTTTACTGCAAATCATGTTTTCATTTTGCAATTCCAGAATGGAATGCTCAGAGCCTCATCCCCAGAGAGGCTGACACACTCTGGCATCCTGATGACACTGGGTCTGGCATAGACCAAGACAACACTGGTGGCTGCCAGTCAAGGGGCCATGCCTGTAAATGGTCATTTCAACAGTGGAGAGGGATTGGACGCATCCCTCAGTCTTCCCTCACGTGGCATCCTTTGTGATGCAATGCTTAGATCTTCATGACTGCCAGCCACAGTTGGGTGCAGGCTGGTGTGAAGGAAAGGAAAGTGAGAGCCTCTGGGGAAATCTTATCAGTTAGCTTTTGCAACATCACAAACCACCCCAACACTTAGTGGTTTAAGACAAGAGTTTATTTATTTAGCTTTTGATCCTGTGGGTTGGCAACTTGGGATGGACTTAGCTGCCCCTCTGGGTGGTTCTCTTGGTCTCAGCTGAGATCCCTCATGTGTCGGTGGTGGTCAGCTGTGGGCTGGCGAGCTACCAGCTACCACTCATCAGCCATGAAAACAAGGGAATATGCTGACTCTGTAGTCTCTGAACAAGGCAAATTTAGATTGGCTCTTGGGTAAAGGTCTGTCCAACTAGATTAGCCCCGTTGGTCCTTGGGCCTCACCACTGACCATTACCCAGTCCTTGCTTAGTGGTGTCATCACTGTTCAGAGCCCTGAGATATCTCACAGAATTGTGGGTATGATCTGGATAGTGGAGCAATGGAAATAACTTTCTAGTGATCTGGTAAACTCTCTCCAGATAGGATGCCTCAGAAGGTAGTGAGTTTCAGTGAGTTTCCCATCACTGGAAGTATTCAGCAGACTCAGAGATCCCATGAATATTCTAGGTTCTGGTTTAGAGGTTCATACCTTGGAAAGCCAACCTGCCAAGGTATCTGGCCTCTGTCCCTGAAGAATCAGATTCCAGCTCATGAGCTAGAAACTTTATGACCTGGCTAAACCATCCTAGGACATGATTTCCTGAGACCTCCCCATTAAAGAGCAGTGTAGGCCGGGTGCGGTGGCTCATGCCTGTAATCCCAGCACTTTGGGAGGCCGAGGCGGGCAGATCACGAGGTCAAGAGATTGAGACCATCCTGGTCACCAAGGTGAAGCCCCGTCTCTACTAAAAATACAAAAATTAGCTGGGCGTGGTGGTGTGTGCCTGTAGTCCCAGCTACTCAGGAGGCTAAAGCAGGAGAATTACTTGAACCCAAGAGGTGGAGGTTGCAGTGAGCCAAGAGCCCGCCACTGCACTCCAGGCTGGCAACAGAGTAAGACTTTCTTAAAACAAAAAACAAACAAACAAAAAACAAAAGAGCAGTGCAGGGCTGCAGAGCTATCCTCTCTCCCCAGTTTGGCTGCAGCCCTTCCCACCTCCCCAGCCATACTGTGTCCCTCTCCACCTGGCCCTGTGTCACTGTCTACCTGACCCTGTATCCCTGTCTACCTAGCCCTCTGTCTGCTCCCTGACTCAACTGCTTGTGCTACCCCAGTGCCTACTCCACTTCTGACCCTGCCAATCTGAGCTGTCCCCTAGGTCCACCCGCCATTCACAATTCTGTCACTCAGGCTGGAGTGCAGTGGCACAATCTTGGCTCACCGCAACCACTGCCTCCTGGGTTCAAGCGATTCTCCTATCTCAGTCTCCTGGGTAGCTGGAATTACAGGTGCCTGTCACCATACCTGAATAATTTTAGTATTTTTAGTAGAGATGGAGATTTTTGGCCAGGCTAGTCTCAAACTCCTGACCTCAAGTGATCTGCCTGCCTCAGGCTCCCAAAGTGCTGGGATTATAGGCATGAGCCCCCGTGCCTGGCCATAGTCCTTCTCAATTCTAATAGCCTGTGACAGAGCTTGACACTTGGATGGCAGGAAGTCTAGGCTGCAATTAGGTGATAATTTGTTGGTGGTGGTAGTGATAGGAATCTGAAACAACATCTTATTAACATTGGAACCAATGAATGGAGTGAACTCACTTTACTATTCCTTTAATTGAACAAATATTTATTGGGTTCCAGTGCAGAGTCCTGAACCAGGAGAAAGAAGACCTAGGTTTGGATCTCAGCTCTGCCAGCCTATCAGTCAGAATGGAGTCAGGAGATGAAAAGCTTCCAGTTGTTTGTTTGTCTGTTTTTGTTTTTGAGATGGAGTCTCATTTTGTCACCCAGCCTGGAGTGCAGTGGCAAGATCTCGGCTCCCTGCAACCTCCACCTCCCGGGTTCAAATGATTCTCCCGCTGCCACCGCCCGAGTAGCTGGAACTACAGGCGCCCGCCACCACGCCTGGCTAATTTTTGTATTTTTAGTAAATACGGGGTTTCACCATGTTGGCCAGGCTGATCTCGAACTCTTGACCTCAGGTGATCAGCCTGCCTTGGCCTCCCAAAGTGCTAGGATTACTAGCGTGAGCCACTGCTCTCAGCCAAACTTCCCAGTTATTTTAATAGAATTTGATATATGAAGAATTGTTATCTATGTAAGTAGAAAGGCAAAAAGCAAACTCTCAGGTATCATGGAAGGTAGCAACTTCAGAAAGCAGCTACCACCCTTAAGCCTGGGGCAGGAAAGGGTAGAAGTTGAAATTATTAAAATTTGGAAGCTTATGGCCAGGCACGGTGGCTCATGCCTATAATCCCAGCACTTTGGGAGGCCAAGGCGGGCGGATCACGAGGTCAGGAGATCAAGACCATCCTGGCTAACATGGTAAAACCCCATCTCTACTAAAAATACAAAAAAAAATAGCCGGGTGTGGTGGCAGGCACCTGTAGTCCCAGCTACTTGGGAGGCTGAGGCAGGAGAATGGCGTGAACCCAGGAGGTGGAGCTTGCAGTAAGCCGAGATTGCGCCACTGCACTCCAGCCTGGGTGACAGAGCGAGACTCCGTCTTAATCCCGTCTCCAAAAAAAAAAAAAAAAATTTGGAAGCTTAGAGGAGGAGGCCCCACAGAAGTGAACCTCAGAGAAGCTCCATGGAGAAGCTCACATGGCTGGAGCTGTAGCGTGTCGAGGAGCACCATGTGGCTGGCTCTGCAGGAATCAGTAAAACTGCAAACTTGGTTCTTTCACTGCTGAGGGAGGGAACTGCTACTGCCTGGGTGAAGCAGTGGGCCAGGGTGCTGCTCACAGAAACAAGAAACAGACCGGAAGGAGTGTGTTCCCTGTCCTTCTTCCTCCTCTGGCCTCTAGTCCTCTGGCAGAACTGTGAGCAGTTGGCAAGCAGAAATGCAGTTTGCAGAGTCCCCAACATCTGAATGTGGGGGATTCGAGTGACAAGCAATAACTCAATAACCGGCCCAGCCTGTCATGACCAGGCTTAGAGGAGGAGCCCCACAGAAGTGAACCTCAGAGCTCCATGGAGGGGGCTCCACATGGCTGGAGCTGGCGTGTCTGAGGGAGCACCATGTGGCTGGCTCTGCAGGAATCAGTAAAACTGCAAACTTGGTTCTTTCACTGCTGAGGGAGGGAACTGCTACTGCCTGGGTGAAGCAGTGGGCCAGGGTGCTGCTCACAGAAACAAGAAACAGACCGGAAGGAGTGTGTTCCCTGTCCTTCTTCCTCCTCTGGCCTCTAGTCCCTCCTGGCAGAGCTTCTTGAAGAGCAGTTGGCAAAGCAGAAATGCAGTTTGCAGAGTCCCCCAACATCTGAATGTAGGGGATTTGGAGGTGACAAGCAATAACTCAATAACCGGCCCAGCCTGTCATGACCAGAAGGATGAATATGTCAGTTCTGTTTCTGATCACTGGGTCATGAGAGCAGGGAATCTCTAAGGTTTTCCCAGTCCTGATGTTCTACAAGATTGGAATTTTCTACATCAAAATTTCTAGGTGGCCTCAAAGGTGGAGGAAGGGAAGAAATAGGAGGCTAAGGGGAGGGTGTGAAACAAGAGTCATCATTTTACTTAAACCCCACAGAACAGCCAGGTGCTTGGTGCTGTGAAGGTCTCTTGCCAGAGCAGAAGGCAAGCAACCTCTGACAAATCTCTTTCCTGGGCTACGGCTGTTTGTTTGTATTAAAATGGGAACATGATAACAGAGCTATTAGTAGCTCCATGCTTAGCTGTGTAAGGTAGGGAGTTAGAACACTGAATTCAGTCACCAGAGAAAGAAGCTGAGGTTTCCTGATGGCCTTAGGATGAGGGCTGGGCCATCTGTGAATAGCAACGGGCTTAGGTCGCTGGGTTTGTCAATCAGCCATGGGAGCTGTGGGTCCCCCTTGATGAGCAAACACAACTTGGACCACCTCCTCCACTGATGCAGAACCGGACTGCCCGAGGCCTCTGTGGCTGGGGAGCAATGCCATGGCAGAAAACGCGGTTCTGATCTGAGCTTGCTGGTCTGGTCTGGTCTTGTCTGGAGAAGCGATTCAGAGCCTGTAGGGCCCTGGTCAAGATGAGAGGAGGCAAGCCTGTGTGAAGCCAGTTCTGGTTCCAGCCTTGGAACTGGAAGACTGTGGGATGTTGGGTAAATCATTTCCAACCTCTAGGCCTCAGTTTCCTCATCTGTAAAAAGAGGCTTTGGAGAGGGTAGTCTTCAAGCTTCTTCCAGCACTAATAATCTAAATTATTCTATGTAGGAGAAAAATCAGAATTTATTAAACTTATAAAACGATACATTTCTATCACGTTGCAAAAAAAGATAATTTTTTCAATAGAGAATAAAAACTCTAACAGAAAACATGATGTGACTGCCTAACATGTCAACAAATCCCAATAGATTATTACTAGGCTGTACTCACAGAGAAGTATGGGGTAAAGACCTTGTGCAAGCTGCAAAACCTCTCTAAGCCTTCATCTTATCATTGATGAAACAAGAACTGTGTGATTTTTCTTTTTTCATTTTTTTTTTTTTTTGGGACGGAGTTTTGCTCTTGCTGTCCAGGCTGGAGTGCAATGGCACGATCTTGGCTCACTGCAACCTCTGCCTAGCGGGTTCAAGCGATTCTCCTGCCTCAGCCTCCAGAGTAGCTGGGATTACAGGCGCCTGCCACCACGCCCAGCTAATTTTTTGTATTTTTAGTAGGGACGGTGTTTCACTATGTTGGCCAGGCTGGTCTCGAACTCCTGACCTCAGGCGATCCACCCACCTCAGCCTCCTAAAGTGCTGGGGTTACAGGCATGAGCCACTGTGCCCGGCCAAGACCTGTGTGATCTTGTCTCCGATTCCTCAGCTCCCTGCCCCTCTCTACCCCATGTGCAGTGTATAAAATGGGGCATCAGCCTGGCCTAGATTTCACCGTCCCTAGCAATGTCTTCCACCTGCTCCGCCCATGGTGGCTTCTGCAGTCTTGCTGCTGTGTTGCTTCTCATGTTTCCATTTCCCCTTCTCTTGCAGGCCCGCGCATAGGGCCCACGTCCCCAGTTATGCTCTTGGTCATCTTGGCCATGGTTCTGGCTACCCATTTCTGCTAGGCTGCCTCAGCCACAGTGGTTAGTCACCTGGCCCAAACCTGCACTTTCCACTCTCCTCCCTGATCAAGGAGGGGGATCACATGAGCTGATTCCAAATCAGCTTTAGTTGCCAACAACTAGAAAAACCATGCTCTGTTATAGAACTAAATAAATAAGAGATAAAGACCGGAAGTTACCTTTGAATTCTTTGCAAAAAATCTTCCCAAGGTGGTAGCATCACATTGTTCATTGAATGCAGGATCTCCATCCTTCTTCCTGCTCTCTGGTGGACTTTGGCCAAACCACTTATGTGCATTTACGGGCTTTGGCAGTTCATCTGCTATTAAAAAAAAAAAAGGACAAAACATATCTCATAGCTTTGCCCTAAGTATGAAAGAGGACATGAGCATCTAACAGAGCTTGGCACATTAAAAAAACAAAAACAAAAACTCAATGTTGGCCTGACACGGTGGCTCATGCTTGTAATCCAGCACTCACTTTAGGAGGCCAAGGTGGGGGGATCGCCTGAGGTCAGGAGGTCGAGACCAACCTGCCCAACGTGGTGAAACCCCGTCTCTACTAAAAATACAAAAATTAGCTGTGTGCGGTGGCACACACCTATAGTCCCAGCTACTCAGGAAGCTGAGGCAGGAGAATCACTTGAACCCAGGAAGCAGAGGTTGCAGTGAGCCCAGATCATGCCACTGCACTCCAGCCTGGGCGACAGAGTGAGACTCTGTCTCAAACAAACAAATAAACAAAGAAACAAAAAACTCAGTGTTTATGAAATGCATTAATAAGAAGTGAATTAGGCTGGGCACAGTGTTTCACACCTGTAATCCTAGCACTTTGGGAGGTTGAGGCGGGCGGATCAGCTGAAGTCAGGAGTTTGAGACCAGCCTGGCCAACATGGTGAAACCCCATCTCTACTAAAAATACAAAAATTAGCCAGGCATGGTGGCACGCGCCTGTAGTCCCAGCTCCTCGGGAGGCTGAGACAGAAGAATCTCTTGAACCCGGGAGACTGAGGTTGCAGTGAGCTGAGATCGCACCACTGTACTCCAGCCTGGGCGACAGAGTGAGACTCCGTCTCAAAAAAAAAAAAAAAAAAAAGTCGGTCCCTGCACACCTGAGGCCTTTCTCACCTCTGTGGTCTGAAGCTGTAGTTAAATTGGCTTAAACTGCCCCATTCTGAGCACTGTGGGGTGTCATTGCCTTCCCAAAGACATGTCTAAATGCCTCAGCTTTACATTTCCCCCAGCTTCTTCTGACTCCAAGTTTCTTCTATAAGATGCTTAATTGGTTTGTGTCCCCACGAAATTCATATGTTGAAATCCTAACCCTAGTACCTTAGAATGTGATTGCCTTTGGAGATAAGACCTTTCAAGAGGTAATTAAGGTAAAATGAAGCCCTATGGGGGCGCCAGATCCAACATGACTGTTGTCCTTAGAAGAAGAGAGTAGGAGGTGGGGCGCGGTGGCTCATGCCTGTAATCCCAGCACTTTGGGAGGCCAAGGCGGGTGGATCACAAGGTCAGGAGATGGAGACCATCCTGGCTAACACGGTGAAACTCCGTCTCTGCTAAAAATACAAAAAATTAGCCAGGCGTGGTGGCGGGCGCCTGTAGTCCCAGCTACTCTGGAGGCTGAGGCAGGAGAATGGCGTGAACCCGGGAGGCGGAGTTTGCAGTGAACCAAGATCTCACCACTGCACTCCAGCCTGGGCGACAGAGCAAGGCTCCGTCTCAAAAACAAAAAAGCTTAGGACATAGAGGGACACAGAGGGAAGACCATGTGAAGACATGGGGAGAAGACTGCCCTCCACAAGCCAAAAAGAGGACTCAGAAGACACCAACCTGGCCAGCACCTTGATCTGGAACCTCCAGCCTCCAGGATGATGAGACAGTCACTGTTACTGAAGCCGCCGAATCTGTGGTGGTGTTACCGCAGCTGCAGCTGAGCAGAGCAGGCTGTCTTCTTGGCTCAGAGCATTCACACTCTCACAGAAGCCCCCGTCACCCCAGGCATGTGTGGGCCACAGAGTTGACAGTTTCTGGAGGGTGGTTTCCGGAAAGTGGTTTCTGGAGGGTGCTTTATGGATTTTACGTCACAGCAGCGCCCACAGCTGAAGATGGAAGATTGCATGTATCGCCCCTGCGAAGTCCCCTGCGCCGCCGCCATTTTGGTGAGGCATCCTCTCTCCCTCCCTCCCGCCCAGTCCTCAGGAGTAGCCCCTAGTTCTTTTCCTCCCTTTACCAGGGCTTTCCCTGTGTTTTGCCACCTGTTGAAGACTTGCCGCCCTTCCCAATTGGCTCATTCAAGACGTTTTGCTCAATAAGATTCTCCTTCTTAGAAAAATTATTCTGTGGCCAGGCATGGTGGCATATTATGGCTTGAATCCTAGAGGCAGAGGTTTCAGTGAGCCGAGATGGTGCCACTGCACTTCGTCCAGTCTGAGTGACAGAGTGAAACTATCTCAAAAAAAGAAAAAGAAAAATTCTTCTGTAGCTCTTTGAGGGGGAAGAGGCAAACAGTCTTGTCTCTCAGCCCTCCAAACTTTTTTTTTTTTTTTTTTTTGAGACGGAGTCTGGCTCTGTTGCCCAGGCTGGAGTGCAGTGGCGCGATCTTGTCTCACTACAAGCTCCGCCTCCCGGGTTCCCGCCATTCTCCTGCCTCAGCCTCCGGAGTTGCTGGCACTACAGGCGCCCGCCACTTCGCCCGGCTAATTTTTGTATCTTTAGTAAAGACGGGGTTTCACCGGGTTAGCCAGGGTAGTCTCGATCTCCTGACCTCGTGATCCGCCCACCTCGGCCTCCCAAAGTGCTGGGATTACAGGAGTGAGCCACCACGCCCGGCCCAAACATTTTTTTTAACCTGGTAGTGGAATTCTTTTTTTTTTTTTTTAACGTAAAACTAGAACTCATTTTTCTTTCTTTCTTTCTTAAAAAAAAAAGGAATACTTGTGCAGAACGTGCAGGTTTGTTACTTAGGCATATGAATGCCATGGTGGTTTGCTGCACCTATTGACCCGTCCTCCAAGTTCCCTCTCCTCACTCCCAACCCCCAACAGGCCCTGGTGTGCCCTCTCTGTGTCCATGTGTTCTCAATGTTCAACTGCCACTTATGAGTGAGAACATGCGGTGTTTGGTTTTCTGTTCCTGTGTTAATTTGCTGAGGATGATGGCTTCCAGCTTCATCATCGCTGCAAAGGACATGAACTCATTCTTTCTTAGGGCTGCAAATTCTTTTTTCAAGCAATGTCTTATGCAGAAACCCCATATATGAAACATATACACTTGTAAAAATTCGGGTGAAATTCACCTTACATAAAATTAACCATTTAAAAGTGAGCAATTCAGTGGCATTTAGTATATCACAATGCTGTGAAACCACCACTTCTATTTAGTTCCAAAACATTTTCATCACCCTAAAATAAAATCCTGTGCCCATTAAGCCGACACTTCCCCTTCCCCCCGCCCCTGACAGCAACCCGTCTGGTTTCTGTCTCTATGAATTTGCCTAACTCTGACTGTTTCCTATGCATGGAATCGCAAAATCTATGACGTTTTGTGCCCGGCTTCTTTCCCTTCGGGTGAGGCTTTTGGAGCTCCTCCTCGTTGTAGGATGTGTCAGGACTGCATTCCTTTTCATGTCTGAAGAATATTCCATTGTATGGATAGACGGCATCTTGTTTATCCATTCATCTGGTGAAACATACACACTTCTGCTCTGTTCCATCCAGAAGTGGGGCACTGCGCTCCGCCTCCTCAACTAGCTTCCTCTACCACCTCCAAGGAGCTCCTAAGGGTCCTCTGAGCTTGGTAAGATGCGTGGTCTCCGGAAGCCTTTGATGAAATAAATGCTAATTTGTTTCCAAGGAGTGGTCCTACCTTGTGGCAGGGGTAAGGAGCTTCCATTTGCCTGAAAGTTTCTGCGCTACACCAAAGTAGAAACTGGCTGCATGCATGCACAGGATGGCCGAGTGGTGGTAACTGGAGGAACTGCGGGCGGCCGGAGGCTGTGGGGCAGGAGGGTCTTTGGGTCGGTACTCTCTGCCCCACCCGAGGTCCACAGGGCCTCCTCCACCCAGGGTGGGCCGGCAGGTCTGCCTATCAGCGATCTGGGCAAGCCTGCTGCTTTTTATGACCTCACTTGCCGAAACTCAAGCCACGCCTGGGTAAGTACATTCTGCACACTCCATAAACAGGTGCCAGACTGCCGCGTCATCACATTTTTGCAAGTTTTTTTTTTTTTCTTTTTGTATGTGTGTTTCCACATTATTTACGGCGGAATTTGCCCAGGTGCAAACAGGAATCCCTGGGAGCAGTTGTCTCATTTTTAGAAAGAAAGGTTTGTTTACGGCCCTACTGCATAAAGGGCAGGAGAGAAGTGAGAGGTTCCTGGCGGAAGGCTCCTTGCAAGGGACAGTTCTGAGCTGCTAGGTGCGGCCAATCGGATGGCAGGGGCCGCTTTAGTTTGGATAAGCCTTCTCTGAAAGGAGCCCTGCTGATGTAATAACGGGGAAAATCCCTGTGTGAAAGGCCCTGAAACTGACGGGCTGGGAAACGCTGATTTCCCGTGGGCAGGAACGCTTGCCTAATTGCGACGGCTCTGCACAGCTCCTGCCCAGGTATGAAGTGCAGCGGCTTGCACCAGTGCAAGGGCGGAGACGCACTGTTTGCCCGTCTGCTTGGGGTGTGTCAGGGGCTCTGCTTAGAACTCGCACAATTCTGAACGGAGGAGGAGAAAGTCCAGTTGCTGAAGGGCAGAATTTCCATGCGCCCGCAGCCTCCAAATCCAGACCACCCCCGAATGTAAGTAGGAGGCAGAGATGTGTGCACCTTCGGTTCTGTCTTGGGAAAGCCTGAGAGGGTGGTGGTTGCAGAGTTCCCTGGAAGAGGATTCCAGGAAGCCAGGCTTCCTTCGGTGGTTTTACAATTTACACCTCACCAGGAGTTTTGTCGGTCTCTTTAGTCTGTTTGTTTAAAAACCTAGTTCAGATGCCTTGATTTTTAATAAGGTTGTTGTATTTAATTTGGTTAATGATTGTCACAAATTAATATTACATTCAACCTTATGATTCAACCTGGAAGATACAAGGAAGTTAATAATTGATAAGGCAGTGATTCTTCTAACACTCAATATTTTCTAATGAGGGATCATCTTCCAAATGAATATAAAAAATAAATGGAAGTGATTAATTTTAAATACGTGTAGATTTTTACATTCTCTGAGCATGTCATTGTGTGTGTGTCTACAGCAAAAGGCAAGAAAGGATTAAGGAGTCATATCCTTTTGATTAAAGGGTTAGGAGTGAAAGAATTGACTGCTGTCGGGACGTCACTCACAGTTTTCTCAGTTTGGAGGCATTTTAATTGGGCCTGTTCGAACCATTTTCTTTTCCAGTGATGGTTCAGTACACATAGTGCAGGGTGACTACGCAATCAATGTTGCTTAAATAAATAAGCAAGTCAATGGGTGAATTTTAAACTCTCTGAGGAAATACTATGATGAAAACCATATTTCCATGAAGAAATCTTCAATTAGAAGGATGGAGTTTGAGGTTTATTTCCAACCTTTGGCCTCTCCAAACTGGGTCTTTGGCATGCTCCTTATGTTCTCCAGCCTGAGTTCCCCCACTGGGTTAGACTGGTCATCTCTACAGCTCCAGCTCTGAAAGTCTATGATTTTCTGTAATTTAGTTTTTCTAACTGGAAAAAGTGAAGGTAACACCTCTAGGCCTGAATATATGATAGCGTCATATGGAATTCAGTTGGATGAGGTCAGTAAATGTACTGGGCTTTTCTGTGAATTGTGTGGGAAGACCCTAATTACGATGATCATTAATAGGCCGGGTGTGGTGGCTCACACCTGTAATCCCAGCACTTTGGGAGGCCAAGGCAGGTGGATCATGAGGTCAGGAGTTCAAGACCAGCCTGGCCAAGATGGTGAAACCCCATCTCTACTAAAAATACAAAAATTAGCCAGGCGTGGTGGCGGGCATCTGTAATCCCAGCTACTCTGGATGCTGAGGCAGGAAAATTGCTTGAACTCAGGAAGCGGAGGTTGCAGTGAGTCAAGATTGTGCCACTGCACTCCAACCTGGGCGACAGAGTGAGACTCTATCTCAAAAAAAAAAAAAAAAAAAAAAAAAAAAAAAAAAAAAAAAAAGAAAAAGAAAAAGAGAAAGAAAAAAAAAGATCATTAATAAACCATGTCACTAAGTGAGCCCATGGAAGGATTCTGGTTGACTTGGCAGTATGCTGCCTTACATGATCTCGTCTCGTCCCAATCACCCATTTTCCTTAGCAAGAAAGCCATTCTGCCTTGATAAAAAGTGTGTGCAGAAGTGAAACTGATTTGATGAAACAAGTGTTTAGAGTAAAAAAAATAAAAACCATATGTTGTTGGAGAGCAGTGGATTTCACGCCTCCTGATGTCTGACACTGAGCTCTGCCGTCACCAACAGTGGGAAACCAGCCACACTCTGAATTTCCAAACTGAACACAATTAGAAACAGAAAATAATCTGACAAGCAGCATTCCTCAGGCTCTTTGGCAAATGGACCCCTTTTGTCACTCCGTTTGTATATATACGTATATGTGTACGCTGGCACTAGCTCAGAGTCTCAGTAACAAACCCGTTTTTCAGAAGTGTCTGCCAGCCCCGGGGTGGGGAATGAAAACACCAGCCCGTATTGGGAAAGAAACCTGGGTGGCAGATCGCGAAATAAAACCCTTCAAAAGTAATTTTCCATGATGTGACTGTAGAGATAAACATTTCCCATCATCTGGCTTTTGAGTTTGGGGAGATGAGCAGACAGAAAAAACTTCAGATCTTTTTTCATTTCACAGATGTTTATACCCTTTTGTTTCTTCCAGTCACCTCTGACAAAATTCTGGGGACGCTGGGTACCCTGAATCACCATGGGCAATGAGAACAGCACCTTGGACAATCAGGTGGGTGTCAGGAAGCTTCTCTCTCGAGATACGTGGTGCTCTTGGCTGACCTTGCCTAGGTTCTTCTTACAGCGTCTCATCTTCACCCAGGAAGGAGCAAGCCAAGACAGCTTCTGTGTAGATGCGTGCAAGCATTTATGGATCTATGCAGCCATTTTTCATTTCATTGGAATTCTCTTACGATTAAGGCTAGCTCTAGTTAAAGCCAGAAACGCTAATTCTGCTTATTATTTATTATTATTTTTAAAGACATGGTCTTGCTCTGTCACCCAGGCTGGAATGCAGTAGCATGATCATAGCTCACTGCAGCCTCAAACACCTGGACTCAAGTGATCCTCCTGCCACACAGCCTTTCATAGCGATCCTCCTGCCACACAGCCTTCCATAGAGATCCTCCTGCCACAAAGCCTTCCAAGTAGCTTGGACTACAGGCATGTACCACCACACCTGGCTAATTTTTTAATGTTCGGGTTTTGTAGAGATGGGGACTGGCTATGTTGCCCAGGCTGGTTTTGTACTCCTGGACTCGAGCAGTTCTCCTTCTTTGGCTTCCCAAAGCGCTGAGATTACAAATATGAGCCACCATTACAGGCATGAGCCACCAGGCCTGGCTTTACTTTTTATTCTGTCTTCTAAAACTGACCTAAGAGAGGTTGGCACATTTTTCCTAGGTTGTGTCCATCAACTT